AAGCAGAGGTGTCTGCACCAGTGCCATGTGTGATGGTACCTGTGTGGCAAAGAATAGCTTCCCTTTGGCAGCCCAGAGAGAGACACCTGTTATCGTATCAACCATGCACATCTTGGCCACTCACATTTTGGTCTCAGCCCTAAATCAAGTTCTGGAACTCCTAGGAACCAAGAGGTGAGGCAATCAGGTGTATCAACCCGAAATGAAAAAGATCATGTATCATCCCTCCATCCTACCCCTTTGACTAGAGGGTCTTTGCCTTGGGCATGGTCTTTGGATAGCGGGATGGGAGAGGGTTCTGCAACTGTGAACAAAGCTTCAAGGACTGTGGCCAGCAGATAAAGCAGGACTATCTCTGAGCAGCTGGAATAAAGCCTGCACAATCCCTTTTACTGCATCACCTTCACAGCCAAGAAACACAAAGGTGGTAAAAGCAGGCAGGTGAGGAATGCCCATGAAAAGTAGCACAGTATGCAGGAGTCTTGCCTGGAACAACTCATTCATTTTTATCCTGGGACCTTTCCCTATTTCTATCTAATAAAGATATATTAGTGACATTGTTAAGATAGAAAAAGAGAGAAAAAGCAATGTTTTATTTCTTTCTTATCAGTTGGGTAAATGATAATTCCCACTGCACAATGGGATTAGGCTCAAACTGGAGCAGCATCATAAACCTATAGTCATAAATCTGTGACCAAGCTGGGAACAAGAGAACAAGAATGTCTTTCTGAGCCAGGCTACAAAACCAATCAATGGCCTAGGATGAGAGATGCTTTTATTGTTCAGCCAGTAAAACAATCAAGTGGAAGATTATTAGATGGGGAAACAGCAGTTTTGCTGGGCCAGATGCCAGGCAATCCCTGAAATGTGTCCAGTGTACCTGTTGGTGGAGTAGAACTGGGCAATAGGCTTCTTTGGGTTCCCTTCAGTGCATAATGTACTTACCAATTTACATTTAACTGAAATCAGTCATCAGATTATGAAAAAAGGCAAAGGCAAAAAGACTATTAACATGCAAACATTTTCTTTCAGCGTTTTCAAAACAAGTTTCACATTTTTGCTTCAAAGAAACTCACTATAGCCAAAGTCATATTTTTTTTAAAGTGAAAAATCAGCCCTACAGATTAATGTTTTGTTTTTGTTTGAAAAGGTTCCTTTTCTAATATGTTTCCATTTTTCCCTTTGTTATTCCACTAAGAATATTTTTAAAAAAATAAAAACTGTCTCTGGTCACCCTTACAACTTTTTTCCCCAGATTTTCAGTTCAGCCTGCAAACTGAAAAACCACTGTGGGCACAGCCTACTTGGGAGTTTACTGTCCCTCTTCCTATTCAAATCAGTCCTAAGCCAAACAAAAACTCATTTCACCAAACAATACCAACCAAAATCAAGGTCTTTAGCAGATGTAAAAATATGGAAAGGGGGAGAAGTTATGGCTGTTTACCAGGGGCTGGACATGACTCAGGAGTTGGGATCTCCTGGCTCCAAAACACATGGCCATCTACAGGCTTCCTGCTATGCCATCCTACTCTCATATAAGGCAATTTATAAACTGTGGGTCTGATCCTGCACTTTCAGAATCTGAGATGTGCTGACACCATTTATTTGTGAGCAATGCAAGATCCAGGTAACCCACTGTACTTGCTCTAAGCAAGGGGTTTTGGGGGGTGGGATTTTTGGGTTGGGGGAAACAAATGGAGAGAGATGCAACATCCTCCCCACTATCAATATCATTCACCTGACTTGAAAACAATCCCTTTTTTGCAGTGTGTTACCACTTCTGCAGGGACAATACAGTACTGGATAGTTGCTTTGCAAGCTCCATAAAATGAAAAGGCCTTATGAGGATCTTTGTTGGGACAGTCATCTGGTTCCAACACAGCAGAAGACAACAACAACAGCAAAAAAACCCACAATAAATTAGGTATCAGCACAGCTTTTTAAATGCTCTAGAACAATTACTTGCAGCTCTGGTACTTAGAATCTTGTAACTATTTTAAAAAAAACCAACAACAATAATCCACAGGTTTTGCATAAAAATAAACATTTTAAGCTGTCAGCATTATGTTAATTGGATCAACCCACTTCTTAATATATATCTCTATGTATACTTACACATATTTTTTTTTCTATTAATATTCTTTGAAGGAGTAGTGGGAGTCACCAATGCATAAAAATAGATCTTCTGGGGAAAAAAAGAGTCATAATAAAGACCACCCCAGTGAAAAAGGAAACAACAAAACCTCAAAAAGGGCAGCATTCTAAAGCAACAGCTCACTACACAAGAACTTGCTGAGTCCAGTCCTTCTGTATTGTGAGCAGTTACTCATAAATTCCATTGGGCTTTGTAACAGTGATGTAAAGTATAAATTTCTGTATATTTGTTTAAAAAAAAAAGGAGGGGGAGGAATTTGGTATATAGGACAGATTTTAATGCCTGTTACATTGCTGTAAATAAGTAGCACAGATCATATGCTCGGCTAAAAGCAGAAGGAACTCAATTCTCACATTTATAAGAATGTATTTTTAAATCAAAATTTTCATCTGTCCCTCTGAACTGAAATTTCAAAAAAAAAAAAATCATCCAGTTTTGCCCTACAATGTTTTTTCTGTTGTCCAACAGATAAAAAACACAGATTGGAAAAAGGTGGAATTTTCAGTAGTGTGTGTGTCAGCATTCTGTGCATCTTTGACAAAATCCCACTCGGGAGATTATTTCAGATTGATTCTGTCCCTTTACAACAGGAGGTAACCTCACTGTTAAAAATCCCTTCAAGGCAAAAAGATCATGGGGGGGGATGAGGGGAGGGGGCTGTGGGAGAAGCTATAAAAAAAACATTAATACCTGACCTGCTTGCCAGCTGCATCAGTATTCAAGTAAAGTTTAAAGTACCTTAGTGAGACTTTAGAGTCTTGCAGGGTCAGACAGGCTTATTTTAACAAGTGTAATGTGCACTTCGAAACAGCCTTGTCGTCTGCTTGTTTAAACTAAAAAAACAAACAAAACTCAAAAGCAAACAGGAGCAAAGGAAAGGCCTCAGCATCCATAATAGACCACAGAGTGTCTTGACACTGACACTTTGATGTTCTTGCCTTCCTTTCTAATGCATTAAAATATCATGAAGTCATGCAGCCATGTTAAAAGAGTATTTCAAGAGTCCAGTTTTCATAGAGGTTAACTTGATCACCAGCACAGCACTGGAGAAAGCTGATCTAACAATATTTCACTTACAGAACTCTTCAAAAGAAAATAAGAAATACAATTCCACAAATAACAATGCCAATTAAAAACACAGAAAGCAAACTAGTTTCTCCTCAGTGTTTTTTTGTAGACATTCTTTCACCAAAAAAAAAAATTCTTCCCTTATCTCTTTCTTTAAAAGCAAATTTTCTAACCAGCCAGATTTTAGAGCTATCTTCTATCTACTTGAATCAAAGCTTTCCTGAAACCACCTACAGGGTTTTGGGGGCAGAGGATTCCCTCTCCTAAATTTCAGAGCCATCTAAATGGCATCTGCTTATTTGTTCTTGTTTCTCTCCAATTTGTCCCTTCCCCTTAGCATTTCACAGGCCAGTACTACTGAGAGAATTTAGATGTCTGCATTTCAAAGAACTTCAGACTGAGCACAACTTCACACATTTCAGTCTCCATGCCCTCTCCATGTTGTTTCTTCTATCTTTACATGTACAAAATCAGTTTGTGTAACATTGTTTTAAAGGAAGAAAATAAAATATACACACACACACGTACATTGTATTGGTGAACACTATACACTAAATATTTTTTAAACAGCATAACAGAAAGTTTGGCCTA